ATAGTTTTGTCTCTTGTGCCCACCTTGTGATTTTGCCTCCTGAGTGCTAGAATTATAGGCATGTGCCACCACACCTGGCTTACCTCATGCCTGTGTTCCATTAAAGTTTTCTCTATAAAATGGGTCCAAGGCAACTCATTAAGGGGCTCTCCTATTCCTCAAGAACTATTTTTATTCTCCAGTAAAGTTTTCTACTTTTAACTTCCATTGTTTCTCAGGATGTATTCTTTGATTGTAGGGAACACAAACGTGATGTATCAGGTATCTGCGAGGTTGGGAGTTATATTTATTTCCCCTAAATCAGTAGAACATGAAGGGGATTATGAGGAAGGCAGTTCAGAATTTCACAAATGGAGAGGAAACAGAAAATGTGGAAGATAGGTCCAAAACACAAGATAATCAGGTATATTAGAGTTGAGAATTAAAATTTTATTTTATTTATTTATTTATTTATTTTGGTCTTTTTGAGACAGAGTCTCGCTATGCAGTTCAGGCTGGCCTCGAGCTCACTCTGTAGCCCAGGCTGGCCTGGAACTCACAATGATCCTCCTGCCTCAGCCTCCTGGGTGCTAGGTTTGTTTTTTTTTTTTTTTTTTTTTGGTTTTTCTCCGGTACCGGGAACAGAACTCACGACCTTGCACTTGCCAGGCCGGCGCTTTGCCGCTGAGCTAAATCCCCAGCCCGCCTGGGTGCTAGGATTACAGGCGTGCACCACCACACCTGGCTTTGAGAATTAAAATTTATTAAAATATTTATATTTTATTACAAAAGGATTTCATGATTAATAAAAAAGTTGAAATCCCTAGAGACAATGAAAAGAAAAAACCATACTTACATGGAACATTCCAAGGAAATGCCAACTGGCCTGACTGTCACTGTTAGGAAGAAGGGAGAAGAAACAGGCAGGAGCTCACAGGACAGGGTTGCTGCAGGACAGGCCTGAGAGGGAGGCTCTGGGACTGCAGACCCGACCAGCAGCTCTCTTCCAGGTGCTGGGGTCCCTGTGGGGTCCCTGTGGGGGTTCAGCGAAAGGGAGTTGTGGCCGTCTGCCAAGAGCAAGGCTTCAGAGAGCAGAAGCGATAAGGGTTGAGCACGCTGGAGCGATAAGGCTTGGGAAAGGGCAGGAGTAGTGGCTCCTGTCAATAGCAGGGCTTAGTGTTGAGTTCCCTGGTGCCGCTGGGCTGGGAGCGGGCGGGTGAGAGGGGTCTCTGAGCAGGGTGGTGGGTTCTTTCAGTAATGAGCACCACATGTAATATGTGATATCTTGCAATGGAAAGGGACGTTAGGAAAACCCTGAGGAAAGCTGAACGTGATATGGACATTGGTAGAGGCCCAAGCATAGTGGCACATTGGTAATTGCAGAATTCTGAATCTGAGGCAGGAGGATTGCCTGGGCTCCATAAGTGAGTTCAAGGCCAGCCTGTACTATGTAGGGAGACTCTGTCACACACACACACACACACACACACACACACACTATATATATAGAGAGAGAGACATTAGTGAGCATCACTGATAACTAGTGTGTACCCAGTTCTTACTCCCAGGTGAAGATCATTGTAACATTCATGCAATTTTGAGCTCCAACACTTCCACTGTGCTTAAAGTGTATACTAGGCCTGTTCCAAATATGTATATGAATGATTTAATTGTCACGTCATTGTATGAGATAAACTTAGTCCCCTTAAAGTTAAGGAAGTGGTCAAGGTAACAGTGTAGCCCGTTATCAAAGTTACAATCTCAGTGGAAGGACTCTTTGTCTCAGTGCATGGTTTTTATTACTGTATTGTAGTAGCCCCTTCCTTCCTCCCTTCCTTTCTTCCTTTCTCTTTTTTTATTTTGAGGCAAGGTCTTGCTTTGTAGTTCAGGCTTTCCTTAAATTCATTGTGTAACCCAGGCTGGCCTTGAACTTGAGGCAATCTTTGTGCTTCAGCTTCTCCAGTGCTGGGATTACAGGCCTGTGCCACCAAGCCTGATTTAGAGAGGTGTTTTTCAATATAAAAATAGACATGTAGGGCTGGGTGTATAGCTCAGTGGCACGAGTGCCTAGCTGGCAAGCGGAAGGTCCCGAGTTCGATTTCTGATACCAAAAAAAAAGTAAATAATATACCTTCCTAGGTTTGATTGCACATTTTACTTTTCTATTAGCTCCCAAGATCAGAGTCAACATTCCCTGCTACTTAATACAAATATGTAGAAATAGACTATTAGAAATTGCAGTGTTTTTGCATGAAAAACTATTGAATATTGACTTTTTCGAGATGCTGGGGCTCGGGAGGTAGCTCAGGGTCACAAGCGCCTGCCTGGCAAATCCAAGATCCTGAGTTCAATTCCCACTATAAGAAATAAAGAACTCTGAGATGCTGGGATTTAACATAATGACTTCTTTTTTTTTTTAACATAAGGACTTCTTTAGGCTAGGGAAACACGCTACCACTGAGCCTTGCCTTCCTTGCAGATAGCCAATTTTATATAGATCAGCATGACAGCTCAATAATTGCGTGAGAAATACTTGATTTCATTATTTATATATTACAAAGTTTTTAGGCTTTCTCTTTAAAATATCTTTACATAGTCTATTATGGGAAAAGTCAGCATTCTTAAGTCTTTGCACAATTGTTTGAACATGGGCTATTTAGAAACTAAGCTGCCCCTTCTGTGGGAGTAGGGCAGGAATGTTAGTCTTCTTATCTGCATTATTCCGGTCCCATCCCTAGTACTTTGATCTGCATTCTTGAGAAAGAACAAAGGCATCCAAAGCACTATGCAAATGGAGCTTCAGGATATTTCTCGGCCTGTATTTTCCCTACCTACGTGAGCACATCCACATTTTAGAGGTGCATCGACACACAGAATGTTACTAGTAAAAACCATACTTACTTGTTTATTGGAAATGTATAAAAGGCTTATTTCCCACCTTCCGGCTATAATTATTTATTGACAAAGTTTGAATGTATCTAAACATAACAGGAAGCAAAGCTCTCAGTTTTAGGTTTTCAGTTAATTATCTGAAATCATGTTTCAGCGCTCTCTTCAGCAGCATATACGATAAATTCATGTTTTCTCAAATCATCATAGGCAGCTTTCCTAACTGATTTTACAGTCATTTTCTAAAAGATTAATTATATTTTGACTTGGGGAAGAGAATATAAAATTTACCCCCAATACCTAGAAAGTTAAAATGAAAAATCACTGCAAATTTGAACAATTAACTTTTTAGAGAGTTAAATATTCTTCTAAATAGGATATACAGTATTGGTATATTAATATTGGCTATAGTTTTGATAAGTTTTACTTTTCCAAACCACCAGTTTTTTTGAGACAGGATCTTGCTGTGCAGTTCAAGCTGTCTTTCTTTTATTTATTTATTTATTTTCTATCTGGTATTGGGAATCAAACTCATGACCTCGTGCTTGCCAGGCAGATGCTTTGCCGCTGAGCTAAACGCCCAGCCCCTTAGGCTGTTTCTGGATTAACTGTATAGCACAAGCCGACCTGGAACTCCTGAGCTCTTCCTGCCTTAGCTTCCCAAGGGCTTAGATTACGGGCATGTACCACGATGGCCTGTCTCCAAACTATCTTTTTTGTATCACACAGGCAATTTTAGAAAGCTCAGCAAGGGAGGTCATTATTTGTATCAGACTTATTGCATTTTATTATTTATATACAGCATATATGAAAATATTAGTGTATCTTTTTTCTTTCAGCTTTTAAAAATCCCATTACATAATAAATTATGACAAATTCAGCATTGATAAATCTGCACAATTGCTTGAAAATAGAATCTTTGGAACTGAGCAACATATAAGGGGTGAGGGCAGGAAAAGTTGGGTGTAAATCAAGATTATTTAACGAGTTGTACATTCAGATCTTTCTTGGGAAGAAATACAAAGGGTTATTCCCTACTATTATATATAGTTAAAAATGGGTACATGTGTCTACTAAGCTCAGGCAAATAGTGATTTTTTTGTGCACATGTGTGTTCACGCGGCAATTCCTTCCTCTCTTTTCTTTCCTTTTCTTTTCTTCTCTTATTTTTATCTTGTACTGGAAATCAAACTCAGGGCCACGTGTTTTTACCAGGCAGATGCTGTGTCCTGAGCTGAGCTACATCCCCGGTCCATTGGGCATTTTTATTTTGTCGGAAGGGGGTAACTACCAAAATAGAGGCATTTATTTAGCTTGCGGCTCTGGAGGCTCAAGGGCATAGTCCTGGCCTCAGCGTGGCCTCGTAGCAGATGACTCGAGTGTGGAGAGAGAGACATCACAGGGCGTGTTCTTCTGACAGCGGCTCACAGCAGCGCGGACTGAACTCGCGCTTGGCATGCAGGCCTGTTGGTCTGGAACTCCTATCTCTGAGTGCAGGGCCACAACAACCCCAAGTAGTGTTTTATTTGAAGTGGGTTCCCAGTGAAATGGCACAGTGGATGCCTGAGATCCGGGGTTCCATGGCCCTAGGTAAACCGCCCCCACCCCAGAGTATTCATGTCTGTTACCCCTGAGACCTGCAGCACGGAGGCCAGGGTTCCGCAAACCAGTAATCTGATCACTCTCAGAAAGGTAAAGCTTCAGGGTTTCAAACTCAAAGCCAGCCTGGGCAATCATGAGTGGTTGCTTCCATGGAGTGCCAATCAGAGCAGTGCAATTTCTGTGCAATCTCTTTTCACCACTCCTGTATGTATGTATGTATGTATGTATTTATTTATTTTTGGTATCGGGAAACGAACTCAGGAGCTTGTGCTTGCAGGGAAGGCCCTTGTACAGCTGAGCTATATCCCCGGCGCTACTACTGTATTTTTTGATCTAAGGACTGTCACCACCAGTATGGTGATCGGTGACAGTCCTTAGATCAAAAATAAACAGAGCATTATGAGTACCAGATGTCAGACGAGGAATACAACGTGATATTTCTCAAAGGAGAACAAAACTCCGCATAAACCGGGCGAGTGGGCGGGCGGGCGGGGCGGGGTCCTGCGGCGTGGCGCATGCGTATTGGGCTCTGCAGTGCGGCAGTCGGTACTTAGCGGAGCCCGGCCGGGCTGTCCCTGCGTCTCACACGGCAGAGGGCGGAGACGCGATGGAGCGAGCCAGGTGTGTGTGCGCGGTTCGTAGCTTGCGGTGCGCCTTGTAGGACGCGGCGCGCTGGGCGAGCTGCGAACCCGGCGAGAGGCCCGCTGTGCTGCAGAGCCAGGTCTGACTGCGAGGGTCGGCGCGTTCGCGGGTGGGGTCGCGCCAGCCCTTGCCGCGCG